CAAAATGATCCAAAAAATAATCTATGGATGGGGATGACCTTGTACACACTTTTATACCCACTGTGAACCGTCTATGAAAAAACTTTTTTTAATATGTGAATCTCGTTTGCAGACAAACAAGACCGGGATTCACAGACAAAAAAATCCTTTTGACATACGGTGGATATAAGAGTGTGTATAAGTGTGTACAAATAGAATTTTTATGTGTATATAGTATATACAGAGTATAAAAAAGTGAGATGCATAAAATTGATGAGTGGGGGAAAAAACAAGAAATCAGTATATTGTTAATTGTGGTACCTAGTGATTATAAGGTCTTTGAAAAACAGAGATTTGGTCCTCTTTTAAATTAAAAGGTCCCTTCTGTACAAGATTCACATCCGGCTTGAGCTAGTTCCCCAAATCATCCGGTTTATCACTCAGCTCAGAAATCATGGCCAGTCCTATTTTGAGGGAAAAAGGCGATTTGGAGATATCACGATTTCTGTGGAAATTAATAGAGCTGACTACTATGTGAAAATGGCTAAACACAAGGGGGGATCCATTCAAATACCAATGGGACCCAATAATTCAAGCCTAATAAAATTCCGTAATATTTTTGCTAATTTTGTAGGGCTTTCAAAGTCAGTGCAGGACGATTCAATCTTCTTCAACATGGGAGCAAGTTAGAATCCGAGGACCCCACTTCCATCTCTAAACTGATTTTAAATCAACAAATCCAGGCGATAGGTATCGATAATGAACACGTCTTCTCATCTGGGAAACAACTCCAGTTCCCACCAAACCAGGCTTACTCATGTGCCTCTAACAATTTTCATTCGGACGACTTCATCTTTACAGATGACTTCTTGGGAATGCTACTGAAAGCAATCGTCCTCCTCCTATTTCATACTCAGAAAAAATTAGGAAGTCCAAATTCAATAAGGAAATATGCCGCAAAGCCAATTTCATAACCACGGAAAACTGCCCGCCAATTGAAAATTTGAACACGCAGCTGAAAATTTACAGAAAAACTCAGAAGAACAAAAGGTGGTGTAGTATGAGAACAAGGTCTCAATCCAAAGACTACCATTGGGATTAGTTATTTTTAGTTTCCTCTGTTTTTCCTTTTGTACTGCTTTTCATTTTTTTTTTCTTTTCTCTTTATCGCATTGTACTATTTTCCCTGTTATTAATAAAATTTCCTTTTTTCCAAAAAAAATAAAATCTACAAAGCATGGAAACTCTCGTCTCTTAGGGAAGAGTGTGTTTCTATTTCAGTAATTTTATGAAAACTCTTTGAAAATTCTACAAATAGTTATTACTCTATTAAAAGATGACATTTTCTGTTTCCCGTTTGGCCATTTCACCATGATTCTCACGTATTACGTATAGTGATGGAAGATTTACGAACAATTAGGGTGTTTTTACTTGGACTGTAATTTGCTGGTCTGGTCTGATCTGGTCTGGTCTGGTAAGGTCTGGTTTCTTTGTATTTTTATAACTATCCAAGTCTGGTCTGGTCTGGTCTGGTCTGGGGCAAATTACAGTCTAAGTAAAAACATCCTTAAACCAACAACGATTTTAAAATTTTCGCTGCATTAACTTCACGTAGTCCAAATTATCACAATTTTGCTCCGTGTGTAATTTTATATTCATCTTATTCACCTAATAATATTTTCCTATATGCATTCCAACTTTTAACTAGTTACATTCTATAAATGGACATTCTCTGTAAATGTTCTTCACTTTTACTGTATATAAAATATGAAAAAATGACTTTATATCATATGCGATGTCCAGATAACATATGAAATAATTATATGTTTTGACTAAAATAAGGATTATTTACAAAAATGTGAGCACTGACAAGAGCGGTGATGGATAACATATAAAACTTATATTTACTTTTCAAACTTAAGTTATCATGACACTACATTGTAGTAACATTAGTCCTATTTGTATAAATAAATTTTATTTTAGTAATATTTTTGAATGTCCCCATAACATATACTATCCTCCGTCTCTTTTTAATCGCAACGTGTTGACTTTTTGCATTGTTCACATGATCTACTTTGACTACATTTTACACTATTATTTTATGGAAATTATTTTTTAGAAAATATAATTTTCAATTTATCTCATTACAAATTTTCAAAATCTGATTTTTAATATTTTTTTATTAATAGAGATTAAGATATACTTACGGTCAAATGTGTGCGTTGGCAAATGTACAAAGGTTGACTGTTGCAACTAAAAAAGAACGGAGGAAGTATATGAGCTTAATATAAATGTTCGTTGAAACAAGAGGAAAATGAAAAATATACTAGGTTGTATATCAATGACTAACGAGTGCATTATAGAAGTACTCCGTATATGATAGCTTCATTAGCTTGTATCACATACCCATTGAGATTTCTATAAAGAAAATTCATCTATGTTAATGATTTTAACTCATCTATATTGTTATCATGGGCTGTTTATACTAGTACTAGTAATAATTGTAGAGAAAAATAAATGACTACAAACGTAATACGGAGTATTATTCTAATAATAATTGGGTGTATGTGGTGTCGTGGTGATAGCACGTGAATGCACCATAAATGCTACTAGTATTAAAGTATTCCCTCGGTCTCATTTAAAAATTTCAAATCACTATTCACATGTTCAACTTATATCATTTTTAATCTTTTGTTTTATATATCACATTTTTATTAAATTTAAATTTTCTAGATAGGCTTTGTGAAACTTTTAATGTAGTTTTCGAATATATAAATTTTATTTACTAAAAATAATCAGTGTAAACAGGAATCAGGTTCCTTTATTATCAGTCAAGCATAATAAACTGAATTGGGAACCTCTCTATGGGACGGAGAGAGTATGTGGCAAGTTCGAGTCACAAATTCGAGTTTCATTCTAATAAAAAATGTTGGCATTAACAGAAGCAGACTATAATAGATTTAGAATGATATGTAAAAAAAATTAAAGTTACTTTTCTAATCAAATTAGTTAAACCATTTCATATATATACATATATATTCATACAATTCTTTATTAGTCTTTTTAATACTCTGTTCCGGCTTAAACTTATCATTGGCAAATGAAATGAATATTTAGATAATAATTAAATGAGATTGTTCCGGTGTATTTGAAAAGTAAATTTGATGAATATATAATATAATGAGATCATTCATTATATTATGATATTATAAGAGCATCTCCAATGACTAGCTATACATGGTGCAGCTTTGCTTGTCACATCCGTCTTTTCTGCCTAATACATTTTCCAGCAATGTGATTCTCCAATGGTTAGCTACAATGTTTCCTTCTTGGGTAGACCCAACAAATGACCAATCAATCAATTTTTTAAAATACACATTTTGAACGAATTGAATTATGAATTCAATAAAAATAATACTTATTCTTAAATACTACTCATATTAAATTGGGAAAATGTTAATAATATTTTTAAACCCATCAATTGTCAGTGCTAGGGATGATATGAAAATGCATATTTTTAAAATTAATATAAAAAATGTATTTTTGTAAGTCAAAAAATTTTGAAATAGGAAACTTTAACAACACATACATACTGAAAAATATCAACTTTACATACTTTATGAGAAAATTAAAGATTTCTAAAAATTAACAAATCAAAAACATTAAATAAAATAAATATAATTAATTAAACGATATCAATTTAAAAGAAATAAAAACCACTTTTGGGGCTTGACCATTGTATTGCAGTACTTTACTTTACTTTAGTGTTAGATTTTTAATTAATTTAGTATTCCGATCTCTCCGTCTTATTCAAACGTTTCCACTTTCTTTTTTGGACATTCCATATAAAGATTCTCATTTTCTATTTAAAAAAATAATTAACACTCTTAAACGAAAATTTAATAATCAAATTTTAAAAATAATACATTTTTAACATCATAGTTACCATCAATGACCCCATTATATTATATACCCATCAAAATTAATTTTCAGAGTATACTCGAATATTTTATGATAATTGTCTAAATAACTAAGTCATTTTATAAAGAAAACCTTTAAGCGGGAGTGTGGGACGAAGGTAGTATATCAATTATCCAATAGATTAAATGTATTTGGTAATTACCATTTTAGTTCAAACTTCCCTTCTCTCTAGCAACTAGCTTGTATTGGCTAATTTGCTTGTCCAAGCTAGGAGGACATATGCACTCCAATGGTAGGCTACTAGTTTGAATATTTTTAAAATTGCAAGCAAGTCCTTAGGAGGAACCATTGGAGATGCTCTAAGTTTTATTTTTAATATTTGTCTATTAAATTGTCATTAAAGAATTTTCCTAAAATAGAAATGAAAATAAGAATGTTTTTACTTGGACTTATTTTAGTCTCAGACATGATCATATCCCACAATCAGATCAGATCAAACCAGACTTCTAGAATTATACGTACGAAATATAATCTACACAAACCAAACATTTAACGAACCAGACTAAACCAATTCGAATCAAATCAGACCAGACCAGACCAAATTCATCATAAAATTTCTGTTCGAACTGTCCACGGAGTAACCACATTCATAAAATTTCTGCCAACTGTCCACTCTAAAATTTACGGAGTATCTTCCAACCTCATGTGAAGCTGCTGCATTCACTATCCCTTCTTCCGTCGCTGCATGGAAGTCATACTAATACTTCATTCTCGCTATAAATTGCCTGCAAATGAACTGAATTTCTGTAGAGCTAAAGAGAGAGCTTAAGACTTAAGAGGGTCGGCAACCCTCGAACAGGGTGATCTGAAAATGGGGAATGTCTGAGGTATTACTGCACATTTTTCACACTTATATAGTACAAAGCCGTTTTATTTCAGAAACTTTCATAAATTTAGGTATGGCTTTATGAGGGTGACACAAAAGAATCTTTACAGCATCAAATTTACAGAGGCCCTAAATTGGCCTTTCGGGTTTTGTTACCCACTTGTCTAAAACTAGGCGTGCATGTTTTGAACTTATGTGGGGGCGGGGTTAATTGGCCCAGGTGAAGTAGTAAAGCTGTAAAGCTTATCTCTTTTGACGTGTCTCTGTAAAAACCCCACTTTTCACACTTTCCATGTGTCTATATATACACATATTATACTGCCAGTCTCCTTTCTCACAAGTTTGAGGTTAAATTTTAGTTGTCGTAAGTCTTCACATTTCTTTTCAAGCTCTGGAGTTTTTCTCTGTTTCTGCTTCAAAATAAGGAAATGTTGCTGATTCATGGTAGTGTTTTTTTTTTTTAGTTTTTGTGTTTTTGTGGTGCAGGTGAGTGGAAAGATTCACTTGTGTAGAACTTTGTCAGTTTGATCCTGTTCTGCTTCAGGAATTCAAAAGGTATATTGTTTTGTTATTCGTGTATGCTGTTTATTACTGTTATAGTATTTCATATTCCACTGTTTCATTTCCTGTTTTAGGAGCTGCCGAGTTGGTGTTTATTTTTCTTGTAATTTCCAAATGTAAAGCAATTGTGTTTGTAGATCTTTATCAAATATTTCATTAAATAAATCATGATGATCATGTGGTTATGCTATGAGCCTATGACTTTGGCGGAATTTATGAAATTCCAGAATTTACGAATTTGCGAAATGCTAAGATCAGAGTACCACATCAAATACTATAGAGCAACATTTGATTTATATGGATTTGAATTAGACTAATCATTGTTTGATTGAATTAGACTAACTATTTGGTCTTTTTGACTGTTTGGTGACTGAGTGACTCCATGAAGGAGTACTTAACTACTAATATTACACCCCTCGTTCCTAAAAGACCTAACAACTTTTCTAGTTTGATTGTCACTTTGAGTTTAGCCACTTTCCCTTTGAGTAAACAAAACTATGTTTATATTTCTTTTGTTCTTCTTTATAAACCTCAACCACATAGTTTTCACTTTCTTGGTATTTGTGCCAGTCTAACTTGGCAAAACATTTTGGGACGGGGGATAGTATCATTTATAAAGCTTCCTTTGTCTTTTATCAAGTACTATGCAATATCAAGACTTGTAGAGTCTGTGTTGATCAAATATCCATGTTTGATAGTACTCTAATTTCAGTTAAAATCATCAGGAAAAATGATGAGCAGAACTGTGGATCTCCGGTCTGACACAGTTACTAAGCCAACGGAATCCATGCGGGCTGCAATGGCAAGTGCTGAAGTAGATGATGATGTTTTGGGCTATGACCCAACGGCTCAACGCCTTGAAGCTGAGATTGCTAAGATAATGGGCAAAGAAGCAGGCCTTTTCGTTCCTTCGGGCACCATGGGTAACCTAATAAGTGTGCTTACTCATTGTCCAATTAGGGGAAGTGAGGTAATTCTTGGTGATTATTCACACATCCACATTTATGAAAATGGAGGCATTTCCACCATAGGAGGTGTTCATCCAAGGACAATAAGAAACAATGATGACGGAACAATGGATCTCGATCTGATTGAAGCAGCAATCCGAGATCTTAGATTTGAGATATGTTACCCAACCACTAGACTTATCTGCTTGGAAAACTCATATGCACAGTAAGGATCACATATCATGTCATTATAGCATCCTTTTCTGGGTCATCATTCTCATAAAGTTGTTAATAGTTTAAATGAGGAATAACAAAAATACTGTCAAACTGAAACTGACCCGAACTAAAGTAACCACAGGTGCTCTGGTTTGGGATTTATGAATTAGGCTTTACAACTGAGCGAACTTACCCAAACCCAACAGCAACCAACTTAAACCATCCCAAAATGACATAACTGAAACCAACTTGAGTTATTTGGTTCAGTCTTTTTTTATTTAGAATTTGCTCAAAATAGGATCAAAACATAGGCAAAACTCTAAAATAGCGTCAAGTATGTTTTCTTCCTAAAATAGGACTAGCCAAACTCTACAGACGAATATATCAAAGAAACTTATGTCTAGTCAGATAAGCACCTAGTAGTGCCTAGTGAAAGCCTAGGTGCTCAAACCTTAAAATACTTATGTATTACTCCATAAGTCATAGCATCTTATGTCTATTAACTTTGTACATTTTTAACAAAGGAGACCTTCCCTTAAAAACACCAATAAAATGCTGGTTATAGGCACCTATAAGCGCCTTTGTGAAGTTCACCCTCATGTATCCTTTGCATCGTATGATTCGTTTCAAAACTGATAAGCGTAACTTCAAAAATGAGGTGATCCATTACTGAAGACCTTTGTTAAAATTTATTAGGTAACTTTGTGGATTTGTAGGTCTTCTAGGATAAGGTGCTGCCAGTTGTATGACTAGCTCACTAGCATCTCAGATCTTACTAACAAATTGTTATCTGATTACAGTTCTGGAGGCAGATGCCTCTCAGCAGAGTATACAGACAAAGTTGGAGAGCTAGCAAAGAAATATGGGATCAAACTTCATATTGATGGAGCTCGCATATTCAATGCCTCTGTTGTGAGTACAGTCCTTTTTTCTTTTGCCAAACCTTATTTTTCCAAAGGCACCAAAAGTTTTTTTTACAAGCAAGCCATATTTTTATATCGATAGATCGAGATTGCATGCATGCTCAAATGACCATCACAATCTTGATCAAAACCTATTAGATACAAAAGTTCTATAAAGTTCTTAGCAGTCAATAAAGGCCTAATGGCTGGTTGGAAAGATTTTCTTACTTCTATCAACATATAACACTTTGGTCTAATAAGAGGTTGATTTTTTAGGATAAATCCCAAGTCCTAATAAAAAAGGCAGCCCGGTGCACGAAGATATCCCCGCAAGGTGACGGTCCGGGGAAGGGTCGCACCACAAGTCTCAATAAATCCGAAGTCTTAATATAGCATATAAATAGCACGGAAATGTGAGAAGGGGTTGTGTGGGGTAATATCTATTTTTAAATAATTTCTACATTTCTCAGGTTGGGAAATAAGTGAAGATAATAAAAAATAGAAAAACATGATCTAACTACGCATATAGTTGTTTTTAGTTAAAACTAACAAAAAAAGATGATTTAATAAAATAAAAATCAGTCATCCCTTCCCTTCCCTATGAAATTCCTGAACCAAACCAACACTATAAGTTTCCGAAACTTCACCCCCTAACTGTTCCCGAGCATCATTTTATAGTATACACGTACATCAACTTTTTGAGTTTTAATTGCATATTCTTTCCATGAATCTTTTCTTGGAGGCTCTCTCAGTGTGTAATGGTAGTGTTTTGGACTACATATATTTGATTTACATAGCCGTGATTTTTATTGGATCAATGAATTTCTAGGCACTTGGCGTCCCCCCTAGCAGGCTTGTGCAGGCTGCTGACTCTGTTTCTGTAAGTTATTCCTTTTCTTAACATGCCCTTTGTAGGATAAACATTAATGTTGGATTGCTGGTCCATATAGTTTACTACATGATTCGTCGGCACATCTTGTACTAACTTATACTGAACCTATTTGCAGGTTTGTTTGTCAAAAGGTCTGGGTGCTCCGGTAGGAACTGTAATTGTTGGTTCAAAAGGCTTCATTGACAGGGTCAGCAATTGACTGCTATATATTTTACAGTCATTCAGTAAAGGATTCCTACCATTGACTGTAAAATTACAATCTTTTCTTTTTTAACTTTTTTCTTCTAAAAGGCTAAGATTTTGAGGAAGACTTTGGGGGGTGGAATGAGACAGGTTGGCGTCTTGTGTGCTGCTGCTCTCGTCGGATTTCAAGAAAATGTTTCTAAGCTCAAAGAAGACCATAAAAGGGCTAAACTTTTAGCGGGTAGTCTTCCTCTCCCTCCACTCAGTTTGTTTAGTGGATAACAATAACAAAAGTTTCTTTGCCTTCTTTAATTGGTTTATAATTCCATTTCATTACCATGAATTTCCCAGCTGGGCTTAACAAAATTAGTGGACTGAAAGTCGACATTGCTACGGTAGAGACAAACATCGTAAGATCCGTAGCCTAGTTGATGTCCACCTTTTTTATGTGTATGTTTTGCCTGTCCACCCTTATAAAATACTGCAATATAAAATCTTTTGATTAGGTCTACTGCGACGTACTCAAGGAGGCAGGCGTAACAGAACTGGATTTGTGCAAGATCTTAGCGGAACTTGGTGTACTCACTCTACCTGAAGGCATACAAAGGTGTGTTCAATTTCACTTCTCTGATTAAAATTTCTCATGTTCAATTACTTAGGTAAACTTCTCCATGGTACTGTGGGCAGAGCTAGGCGGCCTTATAAGGCCTTGGCCTAATATTTCTCAAGCTATACTACTGTTTGGGGTTTCTGTTTTAAAAGGTTAATCTAATAGGACGAATAGTCTAAGAACTTATACTACGTATATGAACGATGTGTTTGTTTCTTTAGAAAATAAGGTGAGGAAGTCCATCTCTTATATGGTGACAGGACACAACAAAATGTTTGCCGATATTGATGCTTTATTGTTATGAATGCAGAATCAGATTTGTGATTCACCACCAGATTTCGGATGCTGATGTGCAATATGCAATATCATGCACTGAGGTATTCTGACTGAAATACGCATTTAGCATTCACTATGAATAGGTTATGGACACATTTCGATGAACGCTTATGCTGGTTTGTATTTTGTCAAACTCATGCAGCGAGCAGTGGTGGGGGTGGCAAATGGAAATTGTGACCATTGAAACTCAGCTTATGATTTATTTCAGAAGTGTCTACTTAGTAAATGGTTGCATCGTAGACATTCTGAACTACTCTTTCAGTTTTCTATTAGCAGCTTTTCATTTATCCCATCTTCATGTTGTTTTTAAGATGTCCAGACTCCAGAAAGAGGACTTTTATTGTAATCAGGTATGGCCAATAGACCTGAATACATCAGCATGGTTTTGGGTATAGGGCTCCCTAAGTCCCTATGAATGTTCGGTTTCAACTCGCGAAATCATAAACGGAAAATCACACTTTTACTAGTCTCCCATTACTTTAAATTATAAGAATCACTAGACTAAATTAATAATGGGAAAATAGTGTCCGGGTTATATATGTCAATGACTCAATGATCAACTACATGACTAAACGTGTGGTTTCAACAAGATACGTGTGGTTTCAACAAGATAAAGTCAGGACATGAAAATGGTGAACACAGGTGAGTTCAATCAAAAGAAGTCACTAAGTAGTGAAACAGCTTTTTCTTCAGAGAAGTTTTTTCTTTCTTCCATTTGTAACTGATCTTGCACAAATCTAGTTCTTGTTAGATTCCGTTTAGAAGATTCGCATCTTTGTTAGATCATATGAATGTTGTTGGCAGATCTTCTACCAGAATCTCACATTGATTCAAGAAGAGATGGAGGTCACATCGGGATTCTGGTAAAAAACAATAAGAGGAATTTTATTGTGTTATCTTACCATCACTAAATCCCATTACTATCTAAGTTGAAAAATAATGGCATGTGTACTACTTGGATGAACTTTGTACAAATCAGGCTTCTTCCCTCCATTTCTATCAGATTTAAGTCATTTAACTTGAAGATTGAGTGACGTGTGCGACCTTTTGAGGATTTGTATACACAAATATTTCTGATAAAGAATCTAAAATATTATGATAATGTTTTGATGTGGTGATTATTCTTTACTTAAAAGTATGTTATTCGGCTATAAGCAAAATACATCACTTCACAGAATCAGAATTTAGACATGTACAGTACTGTACCTCCCGTCTAGGGATGACTGGGATGGATCAGCCCGGGACCCGGCCCAGCCTGACACTGTTTAGGCCCAACCCGTGCCGGCCGGTGGGACCGGTACTAGAGGGTCCGAACCGGGGTTAGGGAGGGCGGGTTGTGGGACAACAAAAGTGGTGACCGGCCCAGCCGGTTCGTGACCGCTCTGGGCCCAATTTTTTTCTTTTTTGATTCTTTGGGTTTAGTCTGCGGCTATGTGGGTGGTGCTGGTTGGTTTGGGGGTGGGTAGGAATTAATTTGAAAAGCCATTTAAAAGAAAATAAACCCGACCCGTCCCCGTCTCGGTACAAACCCGGGCAGGTACCGGGCCTGCAACCCAAAACCCCAGTCCCGTCCTGGCCCGGGCCACCCCTACCTCTGTCTCGAAATGAAGTTTCCATTTACTATCCACTTGGTCAATTTAAATCGCTCTTAATCTTTTACTTAATATATCAAATTTTTATCAAATTTAAATTTTCTTGATCAGAATTTGTAGCGGTTTTTATGTAGTTTCTGAATATGTAAATTTTATTTACTAAAAATAGTTTGAGTGTGAACAGAGATTGAGTTGCTTATTCGTCAGTCAAGCATCATAAAATGAAATGAGAACTTCTTTACGGGAAGGAGGGAATATTTAAGAGTGAGATAGTTTTGAGATAATACTTTTATACAGTACGAGTATTTAAGAGTCAGATAGTTTTGAAATAATACTTCACAGTAGTGTAGTTAGGGTGATATATTGAACTAGGCTAGTACACAGTTTTTTTGAGATTTTTTTACACGATTTTTTTAAGGGAGAATTTAACTGTGTACCCCATGTTTTAAGTGATATTTGAGTTTGCACCATATTTTCAAAATCATTAATGTATGCACCCAAATTTACTATAAATCATTTGACTGTGCACCCTACTCCTTCACAATTTTTGGGTTGATGGGGTGCATACATTAATGATTTCAAAAATAGGCTGCAAAGTCATTCTCTCATTTTTAACCTAATAATTTAAAGAAAATTGAAATTTGGGTGAGTCGGGACCTAGATCTCCCCCAATAACGCCACTCATACATGTAATATAGTATAATCTTCCAGAAGAAAATGAGCGAATAAGAAATTATTTGAAATTTGGGAATATAATATAACTAATGTTAATCATCAAAATTTACCCATTTCAAGTGTAAATGTTGTCGAAACTCTTGAGTTAATGAGATCATTCCTAATTTCCTATGTGTGTCAGCGTGTCTATGGAATTCAGTTAAAACAAAAAAGTGTTTGACATGAGAAATGAGGATGAATCTTTACTTCTGCTCTACACTCCAATTGTATGTTCAAGTATTGTAATTTTTGAGTGACAAAAAGCCTAATTATTTAGAATACACCGTTAAAATTTTGTGCAACAACTATATCCAAGTCTTAGTCCCAAAACATCCTAACAATGAAAATTTTGTAAATAAGTAAATTGTTGGGAAAACTTTTTTTTGTTTTGTTTCAAACACCACTACTTCTTAAACAAGCTAAGCACATGTAGAAGTGAATTCTATCAAGAAATCTTGCATCAGCAGTCTAACCATAAAGGTGGAACACTTCCACATACCATCTCAATTGTTGGATGCGTTATGCTGCTGCAATAGTAGCTGCATAATTTTTGCTGTAGAAGTGAAACATTATTATTTTTGGAATAGTTTTCGATGTAATAGCAATAAGTCAATAACTAGTAACTACTCCTACCTATGTATGTACCTCAATGAACCATTTTTAGTAAAAGTTTACTGTGACTATGACCTGATCAATGACCTAATCAGTAATCGCCATCACCACTCTAATGTTCTTCTTAATCATGGGTGATTGAGGAGTAGAAGAATACTACTACTAGCTAGATGATTCCTTCCAATAAATTAATTATGCCATTTTCTGTCACGTGGCTATAAACAAATGAAAGAGATCCTTGTAATATCTTATTGGACTTTATCAAGACTTTGCTAGGAAAAGTTAGAGTTAGCATTTATAACACAGTTTGAGGAGAAATGTGTGTTGGTTGAAATGTCTTATCACAATCAGTCTGGGCATGTGTATAGATGGTTTCATGGCCATCCATTCCTTATTGTTGACATTGTGCTTGGTCCAATAAAGTGAAACTTAAATCAGGGGATCAATTAGAAATGGAAATTTGAGGAACATATATTGTAATCTGTTTCAGGAATGTTGACTCCCTTCTGCTGCTCCCCAAAGGGGACTAAAATATGAAAATTGCAAATAGTTTTAATAAAAGCACCAAAAGGTTAAGGACCTTAAATTTTACATCAAAATTCGTTTATTCGGCTGGATCTGCCAAACATGATCAAATTTTGGCTCAATTTGATGAATTATGAATAAATCATATTTAAAATAAATTTGATGAATTATGAAAAATAGCTAAAATTATCCTCTACAGTAATGATAGGGTAGGAAAAGACATATACTATCCTCGTTCCTTTTTAATTACAACAGTTCGACTTTCACGCTCACCAACACACAACTTTGATTGAAATTATATTTGATTATGTATTAGTAAAAATTATAAAAATTTAATATTTTAGAAATTCACATTCCAAAAAATTTAATATTATTTTATACATAGTAATTTGATTACTTTTATAAATAGAAAATTATGATCAAAGTAAGGTCTATGAATAGCGTAAAATTAAAAAGTATTGCAACTATTAAAAAATAAACTATCTCTTTAAAAATAATTATATTTATCAACATACCAATGTAAGTGCACTCCTTTATATTATATTTAATAATTAAAAGTAAAAATTATTGTTCGTATTAAGACTAAAATATATCTACTCTATTTAAATATGACTACTATATGTTTATTGTTCCCAAGATATATACTATTTAATTATTTGGTCATAGATATAGAATGTCATTAATTTAATAAAGAATATCATTACATATAGGAAGCTAGAAATACTATGTTGGTGATCATATTATGGAAAATTAATACGTGAGAATAGGTATGGCCGTGTGGTATGTTTTGCTAAGGACCTGTTCGAGACTGTATATACATATATGTATATTATATTATTCATTTGTGGTTATTAAACTCAAATCCGCTTTTAATTTATTATGATAATTGGAATTGACAATAATAAACAAAAATATGCTACCCCTATCCGGCTATCCCTCTAGACTATGTCGATTCTCCTTAATTAATTATATTTTTCAATAAAATTGTAGCTTCTTTGTACGAAAACTACTTCATGATCATATTATTTCGGTTTCTTTGACACTTACCAATAAAATTATTTCGGTTTCTTTGACACTTACCAATCAAGGAACTTTTACATCTTGATTGATTTTTTTTTTGGGTAAGATTTAGGGGTGTTTGGAAAATGACGTTTCAGCAAAAAATGATGGTTTGATCTCTTTAGCGTTTCCAATAAATGGAAACAATATTTGGTAAATAGCTTTTTGGCACTAGAGTTTCGAAAGAAACCGCTGAAATTAAAACGCTGCAAATAGTAGACTTTTAGATTAGCGTTTTGAAATATGACGTTTCCACTAATTTTTTATGGCTAAACAATTAAATTACCAAACATTCTCTAGCAACCCGCCTGCCATGTTGGTCCAAAATTGGACGCTTATAGACTTTTAGGAAAACTACGAAAGACACTCAAGCAAGAATCAAGAAAGTAATAAGAATAAAGAAAGTTGCTCTAGAGTTTGGTTGCCAAAAATAGCTTCTCTACTATTTGAATCGGACTTATCTTTTATAGGCTATTACAAATGGTAACTGTCAAATATACTAATGACTAATTAATTACAATATTAATACGGAATTAAATACATAATCAATAGCGCATTAATCGTTGTCCGTTACTCATCCTGGCTAACGGGTTGACCTGTCGCTCGAGCTCCTTCCCGCTGGACTGAATGGCAGCCCCCCCCGCTGGGCTGGAGGCAGGCTCCCCGCTGGGCTGGAGGCAGGCTCCCCGCTGGGCTGGAGGCAGGCTCCCCGCTGGGCTGGAGGCCACCTCCCCGTTGGGTCGGAGGCAGGCTCCTGGCTGGGCCGGAAGGCCGGCTCCTAGCTGGGCTAGAAGCAGATCATCTCGGGCTTCCGCTCCGCTGGACCTTCGCTTTGTTGGACTTCCGCTCCTTGATGGACTTGATTGATTGGGCAGGCTTGAGCTCTGGGTTGCTAGGCCCACAGGCCGTGCTATCCCACTGAGATGATAGACTTTGGCTTGGCCCGCTAATCCAGATCATGGGCCTGGACTCACGGGTTCAAGTTCAGGGCCTGGGTCGATTAGCAGGGGCGGATATGGCCCATGGCCAGGGTGGGCCTAGGCCCATGCTCAAAAAATTATAATTATTAGTATATATATATTATGTATATATTAGTATATAGTGTTTTAGTAATTATGATATAAAAAAAGCTAATGCCAATTTGTGAACATCAGTCAAGTTAGTCCAATGGAAGCACACTAATTATGCAAGAAAAGGAGTTAGGGTCGAATCCCTTCAGCACCATATTTATAATTTTTCAATGCAACATGAGTAAATTTTTTGATACACTGTCCAAATTATTGGGCTTTTGGTAATTGGTCTACAAAATTAATTAGTTCAAATCATTTGGCTTTTGAATATTAGCTTGAAAAATTAATCAATTCGATTCATTAGAATTTCAAATATTAGTCTAAAAAATTAATTAGTTCACATCATTGGACTTTTGAATATTGATTTGAAAAATTAATATGTTCAATTCATTCTGCTTGGTAGGTGAAATTTAATTAGTTTACTTTTTTACATAGAGCATAGACTATGGAGTCAAGAGAAAATTGATTTTCGAGAAATCAACTTAAAAATTGGTATTGAACACTTCAGTAACCAATGC